CTTCGCCGAAGTTTCAGATTACGGTATTTCAATCTGAAATTGGTTGGGCTAGACTCAGTTTTCGACGAGGAATCCAACAAAAACAAAGTTTGAGTCGATAGGAGCTTCCAAAAAAAAGTTATGAGGGTTTTTCGGAAGGTCAAAGATTTTGAAAGTTTTTGGTGGCTCACAGTATTTTGCAATTTTCTCCCCAAAGAAAAGGTTTTTTTAACTTTTAAGGTTATATTCGTGATCAGCATGAAATTCTGGATCAGAATATGTACCTTCCGTTGAAAAACAAAAACCGCTCGAATTTTGCATTGTGTGCACCTTACGTCACTTTGGAGACGATTATACAGTACTGGAAAAAATTATAGAGTCACTGTATTTTTGAAATTTTTCGATGAAGCCGACCGGCTAGGTCAAAACTGAATAGTGATTTGGATAGCCGTTAAAGTTTTCTATCCAATCCAGTATGCGTCAACATTCGAATTGTACCGAGTCCGATAATCTTTTAGATTCTTTTTTGGTGAGGGTGGTTTATATTTTAATTTGCTGAGCCCGGGATAGATATTTGATTTTTCTAAAGTTAGGATACGTTCCATGTCCGTCTCCCGAACAAAATTTTCAATTTCATGTGAAACAGTAGGTGTTATTATTTCGCTTTTCATTTTCCTCTGCTCATTTGCGTTAAAAGTTGAATAGATTGGACTCGAAATACAAAAACTCCGAAAGTCCGAAAAGCCCGAATCCGAGTCCTTCAAAAAAATCTCCAGTCCGAGTCCGCCAAAAAATCTTCCAGTCCGGACTTGGACTCGCCCATGCCTGACACAGACATCCACAGACAAGTACACAGACATCCATGGATGTCTGTGTTTGGATGTTTGTAGATGTCTGTGGTTGTCTGTGGTTGTATGTGTGCTGTCTGTGTACCTGTCTGTGGCTGTCTGTGGGTGTCTGTAAGTATCTGTGGGTGTCTTCATGTTTTACTACTATCCCATCTAAAAGAGCATAAAATTCTGAAAAAAATGGGGCGTCGCACAACTCTCCACGATCTTTCGTTTCAAAGTTACAGGCATCAGGAAATTCAAAGAAATAGTATAATTTTCGAAAAAACGCTAAAAATTGCCTAAAAAAACAAGCAGAAGTACATTTCTCTGGATTTTCTGATGCCGGTAACTTTGAAACGAAAGATCGTAGAGAGCTGTTCGACGCTTCGTTTTCTTTAGAATTTTATGCTCTTGTGGATGGTTATATTGAAAATAGTTTCAGAATATGTACCTTCCGTTGAAAAACAAAAACCGCTCGAATTTTGCATTGTGTGCACCTTACTAAATTCAGACTTAATGAAAAAGACAAAACTTACCACACTCTGTTTTTACAACGGTTCCATGTAGATCAAGTATCCAAGTTAGCATTGATAGAGCTAAATGTCGTTGACAGTATGATCCTTCCAGATATAACTGATCACAACACCATTCAATCAACCATTTTAAATGTTTCTAAAAAGAAAATAAATAACAAATACAATGTTGTAATTTTATTAGAAATGATTTTTTTACTTGATAGGTGTGAGTTATTGTATGATATTCATCATCTTCTTGTCGTAATTTTCTTATAATACTTCTTGCACAAGATAACCAACTTTCTTTTAAACGAATAAAATGCTAAATGATACATCTTTCATAGGAAAAGTGTATTAAAAATAAAAACAAAGGGAGAATAGAAAAGATATACTTTTTTTAAGAGTGCTAAACATTGATTTCTAAAAGCTGGTTGTGCATTGTCAATGTTCATATTTAAAAAATATTCGATTAAATCAATTTCAATTGGACGAATTTGTTCCGTTGTTTTTGGATTTTCACATAGAATAAACAAGGAATCAAGACGAATCTAAATAAAAAGATAAATAGTTGATTTAGATGTCACAACAAATTAAAATAGTTTCAAGATTAGTATAAAATGATTACTTGTTCATCTTGTGCTGTAATCGCTTCATATAATAATTGTTTACTAATCACTTGCTCTTTATCATCACTATTTTCATTTTTAGTGTCATTCATTAATGAAAATAATTGATTACATAGACCAAGATTTCGACCGATTCGCGTACAAACGATTAATGTTCGAGCATTTTCTAAAATACCAAAAAAATGCACATCACAGACAATATAATGGCGGCCTATGCATAACTTTTGCACAAAATGTTGAGCGCCGTTTCGCCATGTTCCCACTATTCTGGAAATTTTACTTTTTTTGTTTGTTTGAAAGAGCTAAGTTTGAACTACAAAATATGCATCTCAAACAAAATTTTATTGAGAACTAAATATCACTGGTAAATTTTGAGTGGTTTTCTGAAACGCTTTCTAAAAGTCAACTTTTTTCAAAATCGAGATTTGCCATCTAACATTTAGGGGCAGAGGCGTCACATAAAACTGGAAGTAAATGAGATTAGGTTCTACTTTTACATAAGATTATTAAAAATTGAATGAAGATCAAGATTTAGTTCAAAAGTTGAAAAAAATTCATCTGTTCATTCGCAAGTAATGCTAACTTTTTGATTTTCTAACGGTAACTAAACTCGCGATTACTTCTTCACAAAAACCAAATAAAAAGAAAAGATCTATTGTACACTGTTCGAAAGAGCATTTTAAACAGTCTTAGGTGTAAATAATCAGTCATTCTTCAAACTTATGTTTAAACAAGAAAAGACGCGTTTCGAAGAGGATAGAGAATGGATATTTTTTGACAATTTATCAGAACATTTTTAGTGATGTTTAGTTTTTGAATTTTTTCTTAACAAAACTTATGAGAGAAAAGTTTGTTTGATGCATATTTTATAGTTCAGACTTTGTTCTTTCAAATAAACAAAAAAGTGAAATCATCAGAATAGTGGGAACATGAAGAAACAACGCTCGACATTTTGTGCAAAATTTATGCATAGGTTGTTAGTTTTTTTCTTAATATATACGTGATAATTTCTTGCATTCTATTAAACAGTCTTGATCGTATTTCAATATTTTGGGTAAAACATACTAAAGAACAGAAATTCATTTTAGATTAACAATAAATAAATTAAATTCTCAAAATTTCTAGAATAATTCACTATTTCATTGAAATGTTTAGTTTATCTGAGAAAAATATAGAATAAATCGACCATTAACAACTTACTTCTGCAATACAAAATCGATGTGTTTGAGTTGAGTTATCCAATGCTTGAACAATTGGTCTAATCCATATTTCATACCATATTGTTTTATTATCATCAGTCAACTCTTTCTTGTGTAAATAACACATTGAACAATATAAATGACTAGCCTAGAATAGTGAGATATTATGGTAGTTAAATGATGAATAGATTTGTATTCACTTACATCACATGCAATAGATCGATCAACCATTGAATCAAGACAAGATTTTGGTAAATTAGAATTCCATTCTAATAAACTGGTTACGGATGTGTAATGAAGTAACGCTTGATAACATAGACAACAGCCATGTCTTTGCCAAGGTGTATTTTTTAACAGTGCTAATTGTGTGTCACGTGTTTGTTGTCGAAGAGCATCTAAACAAACAAAACTATGATGATTTTTTATTTTCAATATAAAATATTACATTGTTAAAATAAAGAAATGTCTAATAATACTAAGGGTCGTTTATTAATCGCAAAAAAAACATCCGAACTAAATTATTTTAGAAATGGTATCGTCATACCAAAATGACGCCATCGATAAAAACGGACTACAATGATTATCATAGAGCTGAAACATGAAACTTCTAGAATGTGATTATAAAAACGAAGAGCTATTCATGAGCGTGAGTAACCTAACAAGCTGATTGAAAGAATAGCTTTTGTATGCTTTTACTCCTGCTGGCTTCATAAACATTCTATTTTTTCAATTTATTTGTTATTCTAGTAAATTTCCAGAACAAAAATTTTCTTTGATCTATTGTGAATGTGTGTGCTTTTGACCTTTTCTTTGAAATGACCACTGCCACAATTGAAATTACTTTAGATTTAGTTTTGTTTATTCTAGTAATAAATATACTTAATTCTATATCATTTTCTAATGAATGGTCGTAAAAACATATCACTGGAAAAAAATAATTTTAGTTTTGAGTTGCTGAAACGTGCTTTTTCGTATTCAACACACTCGATAACCCAGAAGATTTTCTATTTTTGATGAGGGATACTTCCAAAAGTTTAAGAAACATTTTTAAACTAATATTATTATGAAAATTTTTTGGCGCCATTTTGTTTTCAGATTTTTTCTAAACTTTGAAAGTACCCCTCGCCAAAAATTAAAAATCATCGGGATTATCGAGTGTGCTCGATACGAAAAAATATTTTTCAGCCACTCAAAATCAGTTTTATTTATTTTTTTCCGGTGATATGTTAAATAATACGGGCTATATCAGTAAAAGATGATTGTTTTTATTTAGTTAACAGTTGTATTTGACCATCAAAAACTTATAAAGTCTTTCGGAAAGATTTTGCCTTTGTATATGGAGATGTGTGGACAAAGTATCTAAAGACGAATTGACGAATCGTAATTTTTAAGCGTAAAAATGATACAACAATTCGCGTTTTACCCTTATTTTGCGAATTCGTACCGAATTGATGCGAACTGTATCGAATTCGTACGGATACTCTTAAAAACTTTTTTGGTTTCTCGGTTATGCTTTGGCATCTATGAATTCGTAAATTCGCATTTTATCGTATTTTTGCCAATTTACGAATTCGACCACGAATTCTTGAGGACCAAAATGATCATTTCACGAATTCGTCGATGGTCGACCTATTCGATTTACGAATTCGTAGGTACCGGAAATTTCTTTCTTACGAATTCGTCCTAATTTACGAATTGGAAAAGGGAAGGAAAGAGGCAATTTTTTGGTTCGGTTTTGATCATTTTTGTTAGTTCGCATCAGTTCGCATTGAATTACGAATTTGCTGCGAATTCGCAAAACAATGATAAAATGCGAATTGTTGCATCATTTTTACACCCAAAAATTGCGATTCGTCAATTCGGCTTTAGACACTTTGTTCACACTAATGTGTATATGTGGCAAAAAATGATATTATAACTTAAAGTTATAATATCCTTCGTTTTTTGTTGTCTTGAGGCTAAATCCCCTCTCTTAAGCTTACTTTCGTTAAACGAAAAAACAAAAATAATTGAATTCGCTGCGAATGCGAATATTCCATAATCTCAATGATATAATCGAAGAAGTCTTATCTAAGTAATATTATCGTATAGAAGTAGAATGTCTGTAAAATGCACCCTACTGTTTCTTTCATATCCTGTCAAAATAGCTTCTAAAATTTTATTTTTATTGATTTTTTGACGATAAAAATTTTTTCTATTCTTAGTCTGGAAAAAGTTCTATGTTGGTTAAATAACATTAAATTAATTGTCTCTTACCAATACTCATCGCTGCTTTTAATGTATTCGTATAAATATTCGCTGTACAATGTCGAATAATCTAAATATAGACAGTTGGATACTAAGTTATTTTAAGTCGTCTATAAAAAGTTCACTCTTACTTCGATATTATGTCCAAAATTATCCCATGCAAAACAAAATAATTCTTTAACAATTGTTTCTAATGATTTCTCATCAATGATAGTTGAACATGCACTAAAAATATGCAATACTTATTCAAATATACAAATAATCACTGTTAATTTCTTTGAATTTACTTTAAAGAATCAGAATATGTTTCTAATATTTTTGCAACAGCCACCATTATTGATGAATCACGTCTAAATAAACAATATACAAATTTTTAATTTTAAAATGCAATTTTATTCAAATTTGCTTTACAACTATTTTTTAAGTTACAGAAAAATCTAGCATTTGGGAACAATCTATGTGTCTTTTTCTAAGTACGCCAGAACGACGATTAGGAAGAGAATGGGTCAAATTTTTTGATAGAATACATTGTATAGTGGAGATAAAAGTGACAAATGGACACTCTCGAAGACTGCCCAGTAAGTCATAATTTCGTTTTTAGCGTTATACAATACGTGTAGGCATGCACAGAGTAATTGACTAAGGATTTTATATTTTTTCAAAAACCCGGTGTTTCGTAAATTGCTTCGTTAAAAATTTTCTGACTCGGTAAGAATGTAGAGCAAACATTCCTCTAAAAAATAAGAGATTGGACAGCTCTACATGATTTGTTTTAAGAATTTGATAGCGAATACCTCAAGAACACCTAATCGAGTAGTAAACGAGTATCTCGGTTAGTCCTCGTGGAATATTGCTACCGAAATCTCAAAACAAATCATGTAGAGCTGTCCAATCTCTCATTTTGTAGAGGAATGTTTGCTCTACATTCTTACCGAGTCAGAAAATTTTTAACGAAGCAATTTACGAAATGCTAGGTTTTTGAAAAAATATAAAAACCTTAGTCAATTAATCGGTGCATGTCTGAGCACATGTTCTATTTGTAGAAACGCGTTTGTATTCTTTTGATAAAAATTGAAAAATCGCGTTCCTACAGATAGAATACGTGAAATTATGCCTTATTGGGTACGCGCTTCGTAAGGACCAGTCTAAATTTTCGAGATTTCTACTTTTTGTAATTAAAAAACGATATTACTTTAAGTTTAGTTTTACAACCACTTATCAGTTACTAGAGACTAAAACAATACTTAATTCGAAGAATTGTGACTAATTTATCTTTCTACATCGTGAACACGAGCGTGACTAGTAAGAGGATGGGTGACCACTTCTGAAGATCAAACCAAACATCGTGAGGTTAGTCACTAATTAATAGAGAATTGTGACGGGTCTTTCTTTCTTTGTGTCCAAAACTACGATTTGTAAGAGGATGGATGACCATTTCCCAAGATCGGACCATAAGTTTGATGCTTTTCACATTTATCTCAACGTTTGTTGAGTGAAAGTTACTAGATACAGTTTATGTTAGAGGATGAATCATTTCTGGTAGAATGAAAAGAAATACTTAATGAAGGGAAGCAGAATATGTGCAGTGGTCAGTGATATTGTACTCCATTCTCATCGTGTGAAAGTTATCATTCTTTGTTCGATGAAAACACGGAATAATAACATCTTCGCACGGTGTAAACTGAGTTGTGTTGCTTGTCATGTAACTGACCAGCGGTTTTAAAACTTAAACTAATTTAAAATTGTATCAAACTTAGTTTCATATTTTATAAATTACGATTGTAAAAACAAATTTATTATAAACGTTTATTCTCGTATGAGTCACCGATAAATACTAACGTTTGAAATGAGAGGATATTGTGAACAAGTTGTACAAGTATTGATCCATCGTTTATATCTTTGAAATTTGTTGTTTTTATTAAACCAAAATAAAGTGGTAGACGAGATGTTATTGGCAATGATGAATAAACACTATTATCATTTCTCATTAATTGAATCTAATAAGTAAAACTGATATTCTTCTATTCATCAACAGAAGAGAGAAGCAAAAAAACAATAACATACTGTCTCATTGAATTTTTGGTTACTGTTCGACAAATGCCATGCTATCGAACATGATAAACGTATTTCTAATGGAACACCACTAACTGAATGGAGGAATGAATTATTAAACAATGATATATTACACGTTTCTATTTGTATTTAATCACCATCATTTAGAATTTGTTGTACAAAATTTTTTATTTCTTCACAAAATGTTTGATGTAAAATGGTGTCTAGTTTTGGTAGCAAGAATACATTAATTTTAAAACATAACTGTAACTCTTGATAGAGATTAAAACGAGTCGATGGAACATCGGTAAATCTAATAATAGAAGAAGAAAAAAGGACAATAATCAACCGAATTTCAACAAAATAATTTCAACTTACTGAACATCTTCCCATAGTTTTGTACCAGCAATCATCATTTGTTTACAAACTAGAATCGAAATAAACAAATTGTAAATGTTAAAAGAAAGTAAAATGAGAGATGAAATAAATTCGTTTGACAATAAAAAACATTCTAACGATTGTCCGTCCTCCACTAGATTCAGTGTAGACAATAGAACACAATCACTGGACACTTAAAACATTGTTTCTCAAGAACTCACTCAGTGGACAAAAGATTTGCTTCTCAAGAAGAGTGTCCAACTCGAATGTTTGATACCTTTCGTGTGCAAAAATAGAGCAGTTCGGAATCTGTAAAGGCTACCGATATAGACTATCATCTTTCGAAACATAAATGAGTTCCACAAACATACCTTTCTAAGATATTAATAAGTTTGAGTCTAACTGCAAAAATGAATGATGACTGATGGTGACGTCACGATGCTGACGAGGGGAACTCGCGAACTGTCACATCGCTTTTTTCAGCCAAATCTAGTGGGTTATAGGTTATCAACTATGCTGAATCCAAATATCATAGTGGTAGCTGCCCAGGAGTCTCTAGAAAACGGTTTCCTGGAAAATCAGTTTTGTAAGAAGCTCTGAAAAGTAACCAAAACCTTTCTCAATGAGGCATAATTGTAGCCCGCACATTTTTGATTAAAATGAGACATCTCTCAGTTCTACATGACCTTTCTTTCCAAAGTTATAGAATTTATCAGAAAAGCCCTAAATTAAATTTTTCCTTCTTTATTTCTGTAGCTTTGAGCTCACAATGAACATTCAGGGCTTTTCTGGTAAATTCCATAACTTTGTAAAGAAAGGTCGTGTAGAGCAAACCGCAAGGTATTACGAACCATGTAAAGGCCTGCATAAAAGCGGTAGGGTGGTGCAAGAGGAATAAGATCATACGGAAGACAGCTATAAAATAATTATGTATCTGTAGAGCTGCAGCGAAGGGTAAAATCATGTGGAAAACCGACACACAAAGAGTCGTACACTTGAATTGGTGCCGACGACATTTCCATCTGGTACCAGAGGTGCAGCTTGAAGGTGTAGAAAAGGCTGGTGGAGTTTTATGATTGGGAGTTGCAGCATTATCGATTGTGGAATACCTGATGTAGGATGGATCGGAAGTTTATGACGGT